GTGTGTGTGTGTGTGTGTGTGTGTGTGTGTGTGTGTGTGTGTGTGTGAGAGCAGTCTCGTGGACTCCCCTGGCGACTCACGTGGTAACGGGTCAGCTCCATCTTCCACAGTCTTATTGAGGTGGTGGATGGAGAGGTCGGTCTGCAGGAGGCTGTCTGCTGTGGCTCTGGCCAGCGCTGCAGCCAGGGAGCACGGGCAGTTACTGTAGTTGGGAGGGGGGGGGGGGGGGGGGACACAGTTTATGAATGGGTCAGGAAGAAAAATCATATTAGGATAATCCTCTCTGGAGATCAGCGGTCTTCCATCATTAAGCCGGTTTATTGCACTGAATAACAATGTGGCTTTGCTATTCATAGAGCCGACGACAGAACATTACAGTACAGACCGAGACATTGACATGGCAGATGTTATTACTGATATATTAAGCATATACAGTCTGGTGATGATAACAAATTGCGATACAGAAATGTCAAATATACAGTTGAGGTAGTCTTCATTAGATACAGTAGTTTGTCCACGAGAGCACGAACAAGTTAGTTGTTTTTTACCTGTAAAATGTCAAATACATGGCATAGCTCGATCACTTTTCTTTAAAAAACTAATTTATGCATCCATATCAGAAATCTTTATGTCAACACAATGCACCGGTACTGATATCGACCCAATACTGACTCAAATAGCTGGATTGGATAGTGAGTCATGTATTATCTTTATAATACATTTTAAAAATCTATAAATTTAATACCTATGAATCTATTTGTTACATTTTGTCCTAAACTACAAGTCATAGTGGTGCTAGATGAAAAGTCAGAAGATCACCAGATCAGACATTTTACTGAATAAGTGAAAACTCTGACCAGCTGATGGCACCCAATGACAAATCAGAGGAATCCTAAAGTAAGTAGGCTTTATCCTCTGGGGACCATGAGCGTCTGGACAGAATTTCATGGCAATCCATCCCATAATTGCCTCGATATCTCCGTCTGGGAATAGTGGAGGACTGACCAAGCGAATAATGGACCGTTCAGTTCCTTGAGCCAAATGAAACAAATATTAAACAACACGTGGAAAACAAAACAAACAAACTGAAAAATGAATTGTTACAAAGCTGAAAGACGAATAAAAAGCTTATTCAAACAGAAGCAACATTTAAGATTGATATCCCATGAACCCCATCCCCGGGTAAATTAAACACAGAATACATGTTATCCTTTTTCTTTTTTAAACTGAGTTAATTTAGGACTTCCTGTTAGACACAGATATCCTGTCAGCTGGAGTGAGCTGGTGCCAGTAGTTTGTACCTTGAAGAATAAAAATAAAAAAGACATAACAGCTCGGTTTGAGTGCAGCGGTACATCAGCACATCTGAGAGCTGAGTGTGCTGCTCCTCTTAAGGTTAACGAGAGTGTTGAGGAGGAGGAGGAGGAAGAGGAGAGTGTTTGAAGGACTGAAGGCTTTCTGTAGATAACTGGGTTTCCTTCCAGATGCTGACACTTTGCAAATAAACCCTGAACGGACATTGACAGCTTATAAATAAAGGGACAGGTGTTGTTTTTTAAATGTATCACCTACAGTAGATAGTACCAGCAGGGGAGCAAAGTAATGTACTGCTGTGGACGTATTTTAGACACCTAAAAACATCAACATCAGTGTACACTATATTTAGAATATTCTGCTTTACCTTGCTGTCAGTAGGCAAACAGCACCTGGCCAACGCTTCAGTGCTGTATGATGTACAATAACTATTAAAACATATTTATTCATGCCTGTCCTGGACAAATATGGTAAGTTGCTGCCAGTCACACCCAAATACTTTGGTCTGAGTACATGCACAGAAGTACAAAAAAGTTCAGACAGGTCTTATGTGGAGTTTTGGTGAAGTGGCTCGCTCATGAAACGGTCTAGTAACAGGTCTCAGGTCAGGTTAGCGGGTCACAATCAAGGTTCCAATCAGAAGAGAATATCCTGACCCTTTTCTCTGCATCCATTTGGGGAGGGGGGGGGGGGGGGTCTTTATTAGTTAATTGGGACAACAGGTGGGAGATAATTGGCCTGTTTTCAAACTCTGGAAGCTCTTGAACATGAAAAAAGTAGCAACATGGTCAGTCGGCTAGCATTACGATGACGGCACAGCAACAAGACTCTTCTCTCTTTTCTGTGCATTTAAAACTAAGCCGTCAACACATCACAACATCTGGTTAATTAGTGTTAACGATGTGAAAATGTGCTTTTTCTACGCTGCGACTAGAGTGTGTACATGAAGCATGAAGTTATACAATTTTACTCCAGCTAGCTTGCTAACTCCACCGTGCTTTAATGCTACAGAACATTAAAAGCATGCAGTGCCGGACTTTACTGGTTTTTAAATTAGCGTTCGTGATAGCTGTAACCCTTTCAGTTAGCTTATGCTAATCGCTAGCATGCTGACTGTTATGAGTATGTGTAGGTAAGAGTGCTGTAAAGCGTCTGTTATAGTGAATAAATACAGTTTAAACTCTAACATACATGAACTTATTTATTAACAGACATCATCATCATAGAGCTCTGCAGCTAGTTTTACTAAAATCATTCAGTACATTTATAATTCTGTTAGAATAAAGTCCATCCAAAGATTTACCCACGGATAATTCCGTGTTCATTTAAAACGTAGCAGTGCAGCAGCTCAATAACACGCTGGATGGTGTGCACTTTGAAATAGTCATTGTGGTGCATTTAATTAATCTGAATTGAGTACAACAGAGGGACGTATTCCACGATTAAATGTTTGTGTGTTAAGTGTGAAAGGGCCTCTGTGACTCTTCTGTAAAATGACATTCAACATCTTTAATGAAGCGCTGCTCTTGCTAACCAACTAACAAATAGAAGATATTTAGATTTATGACTGTATATACTAACTATACATCATTCCTCTGATCTTTGCATTGGATTCTGGTTAATTTTAGTATTTGATTATAAACTGTTGGTCGTGCGTCGTCATATCTGGGTCTGCCAGAGCTCTTAGCTCATCTGTTAAACATGCAAAGTTGGTGAAACAGGCAGTGGGTGCAGAAACAAAGCCTCCACAGTGTCCTTGTATAAACGCTCTCTGTGCTTTCCCAAAGAAACGTCCAGAGTATAAAGAAAGAGGAAGTAAAACCAAAGATAATTCCTAAACTTCCTATTGAAACAAGAGCATACACATTCTACGTGAAACTAGATCTACTCCTCTGAATAACACATCATTTAGCAACACAGGAAAATATAAATTTTAATATGAACACTTCAGAATAAAAGTCTCAGTTGAACCCATGTCGGATTTTACCAGATTTTGGGAATGCCGTTTCATAATTTAGCCCAACAACATAAGCAGAACTGAACAAGCAGCATCCAAAGTAAAGCATTTGATTACCTTGCTTTATGTTTGTTTTATTGCATTTGATGTGTTCTTTTGTGTAAACGCTAAAGGTCTCTGCACGGCGTTTCCCTTTAAATGAAGCTGCTGTATCTTGCTTTGCATTTAGTCTGCGTCTCTCTGCCGTCGTAGGTACGTTGAAGTGTTGGAGGAAGTTCAAATGTAAATATGAGACACAACAGGGAATATTCCTCTCTCCATAGCAACCGCAGAAACTACAAATAACTCCACCGTCTTGTGTACAGAAATAGTTAAATTACTCATTTCAGCCTCGGAATGTATTTGTTTTCCTCATGCGTGAACATTTCAACAATAAAGAGTCAGGGATGGACAGTGAGATCCAATTCACCTCACGATTTAGGACTCGTACCGACATTCAGGGGTTTAAAAGGTGGAAAATCTCCAGTTTTAAACATAGCCATGGTCCAAATGACTCATGGCAGTCCTTAGATTTTACATTTTCTTAACTGCTGCAGACACTGTTTTGCATCAGAAATAAGGTTATCTCGTCTTGTAATTCCTCTCCTCACTTGAGAAACTTGGTTTTTTTTGTCGGGTCCTTTTATTTTTGTTCTCAAACTGGGTCGTGGGCTAGATAGAGACATCAGGAACAGAGTGGTTCATAATGCCCCCATAATGCAGTAACCATCGAAGCCTCCCTGAAGATGTGGCAGCTCTATGAGTGAAATATGTTTTTATTCTTAAAGAGGTGGAGCATGAAATGAATCATGACTTTAACAGACATATCTGTCTTAAAACAGCCTATTAGGGCCTTTGTTAGTACAACATATAAATAAATGAGCAAGCCGGGGGTAAGATTCCAAGAAAAAACAAAAGATTTCCAAGATTAAAGTCGTACATTTATGAGAAATACCTCAGATATTCTCTGAGATTAAATTGGCGGATTTCTGGGAAAAGAACTCTTAAATTTGCGAGATTATAGAGTCGAGAATTTATGAGAAAAAATACAGAAAAATGGTGGAGTTCCAAACCATGCTAACACCAGCTGTCTGAATTAAGTTGCTCCTTAAGTAGTGTCATTACGGTAAAGAAGGATCTTTTCTTTCAGAAAATATCCACGTTTTTTCTTATAAATTTACGACTTTAATGTCAGAAACTCAGAGTTTTTTCTCCCCCGATAGTTTTTTTTCTTCTTGTTTTTTCCTACAATGGCCAAAATACGTCACGTAAAAAAACCTACCGTGACGCGGAGAACAATGGGTTAAAGATGGATGCAGTGTGGGTGGATGCTCGGTTAACTTTACTAGAATATGGTTATTGTGATTCAGCGTTAGACACAAAGAGCTCAAGCTTCACCTTAAAACTGTCACAGTTGTAGTACTTTTTGTTCTGCAGTATTCTCTATGAACAGAGTGTTGAACTATATTTAAGGTACTTGTATGAAGGAGTTTATTTTAGATGCACAGGAAAGACTCGTCTTTGTCTTGTTACATTATTTTAAATACTATAAAAACTCTGTCTCTATCTCTTTCTGTCTCTCTCTATCTCTCGCGCTGTCCTCTCTCTGTTCTCTCTCTCTGTCTCTCTCTCTTTCTGTCTCTCTATCTCTCTCTGTCCTCTCTCTCTGTCCTCTCTCTGTTCTCTCTCTCTGTCTCTCTCTCTTTCTGTCTCTCTATCTCTCTCTGTCCTCTCTCTCTGTTCTCTCTCTCTCTCTCTGTCTCTCTCTTTCTGTCTCTCTATCTCTCTCTGTCCTCTCTCTCTGTTCTCTCTCTCTCTGTCTCTCTCTTTCTGTCTCTCTATCTCTCTCTGTCCTCTCTCTCTGTTCTCTCTCTCTCTCTCTCTCTCTCTCT